ACATATACTTAACTGTTGTATTTATTCAGATAAAATGGCAATATAGTTCAGGTGTCAAAAACAGTTGTTCTTTGCATCATGTTTACCAGTCGTAAGAAACTATCATGCCACCAAATTAAAGTTATTTTAAGGTTATAGACCTTTATTTCGCGAAACTCTGACATAACTATAATTAGAGATGGAGATGCTATAGAAATTGCTATAGAAAGTTTTATAAGGCTAGAAAAATTATAAAAACTTTGATTTTTCTGATAAAGTGTGATTTGGCTCAGAGATTTTCGGTGAAATTAAGATTTTCATGAATGAAACACTACTTTATTTATGTTATCACGGATCCTCGTCAAAAATAAGACAAAAATTTATCTTCACACTGAAGAATGTGAGCATAACCTTTAAAGATTTTCTTAAGTAGATTCAATAAGTGCTAAATTTTAGATTTTTTTTTTTTCAAATTAGTATCTTTTCAAGCAAATAAGATATCGTGATATAATTTTTTTTTAACTAAAGATAATTCAATGCAAAATAGTGTGAGATTATGGAAATTGCTATATAAAATTTTTCTAGGCTGCAAAACTTATAAATAATTTTATTTTGCTGATTCGGCTAAGCGATTTTCGGGGAAATTAAGATTTTTGTAAGTAAAAACCTTATTTTATCCTTGTTATCACGCACACTCATCAAATATGAGACAAGATATTGTCCTTACACTCACGATTGTAAACATAACCTCAAATTGTTTTCTCGAATTAACCTAATAAGTGTGAGATTTTGGATTCTTTTTTTTAAATTAATAAAATTTTACGGGCATAAGCTATCTCAATGTTTTTTTTCTTAATTGAAGATAATTAAATACAGAATAGGAAAAAACTATAAAAATTACCAAACAAAGTTTTTTTAGGCTAGAAAACTTATAAGAACTTTGATTTTTGTTATTACGCATCCTTGTCAAAAGTAAGACAAAAAAATATCCTTACACTTAAGAATATAAGTGTAACCGTAAGAGATTTTTTCGAGTTAAGTTAATATACAGTCTATGTGGCTATTTAACGTTGTGTAAGATCCGGGAATATTCTGGTATGGTATATTGTTCTGCTTCCCCATCCCCAATTGTAGTTATCCTAATATTTTGAGAAAGGAAGGTCAATGACTCGAAAATTATATAAATTTTGTGGCATTATAGTGTTTTACGACTAATAACCATGATGCAAGGTAGAACCGTTTACGTTACTTGAATCATATTGCTATCTTCTCTGGATAATAACAACAGTTTAATTCATTGAGTAACATGATTAATGCAAAAATTATTTTACTATAACCTTATGATCACTTTGCATTACCCTGAAATTTGAATTTTTTAAATTTATTATATGATTATCACTCATGAATACATAAAAAACAATGTTAGTCTTATATTGTATACTGAACTTTATTTATCTTTATTCATTTAAAAAACAATGATACATTACTTGTGAATTCGAAGAATCGGATAAATTTTAGTATTTTCTCTATCTGTTCATGTATTAGTATGTATGGTGTATAAACCATGTAAGCAACTTCAGCATTACCTTTACTATTTACTTATGATAGTATACAATAGAACACCTTAAACTTTAATTATTAAAAATAGTGAAACTTACATAGCTAAAGTAATGTTAACTCTCATTCACATTAAGCCCTCTTGTACTTATGCAAAAATTATGCGAGACAAAATACTGTCTATATGGAGCATAAAGGTTAGATCAAAGTAAAAAAGAGAGTATGCTAAACATCTCTTTAATCTAATTGGCTTGAATACAGTCTGGCATTGATTGGCTGGTAGGCTAAGCGCTTGATTTGAATTACTTAGGCATACTTTTTAAAGGACTCATACATTATAAATCTGGAGATAATTATTATGGAAAACTAAGCTTGTTAACAATTGAGTCAATAATTTTTACTATAAATTTATGGAAAGTGAGTTACAGTTATACTGTTTCGTTTTGACGCATCATTGCACACAGCAGAAATTTTTTCTGTAGACTCTTTTTTGGAATTTGGAAAAAGTTAATGCACTTATTCAGTATGAAAAGCCAACTAATTTATTACAATTATTAATAAGAAGCACACTACACGAACAATTTAGTCAAACATTGGAAAAAATCTATTGTTTTATTTACGTGTAGATAATTCTAACTGAAAAAAAATGAATTAAAAAGTAACTAGTCCTTACATAACTGAAAACCTAATGTCTGACTGAGTCCAGCAGTATCCCTTACGAAATAAGTCAGAAGAATTAACTCGAATTGTGTACTTGCATTTTAACACGCCATACTATTTTTTGATTCTTCGTTTTACAAGTGTTCGAATAACGTAACATACGATAGAACATGTTTTATTTTTTTATTTCTTGTAATGTAACCTCTATAACATTAGATTATTACATACTACACTCAGTATTATCATTGCAAGTCCAGTATACTGTCAAATTTATGATGTGTAAGATTAAATGAGATATTACGAAAAACTTGTACCACAAAAATTAGCAAATTGTTACGATCTCTCAATTATATTTCAGAAAAAAATTAATGCAATAATCTAAACTAGTAATTTGTTTTAATGGTTTGATGTAGAAAAATTATAGTGATCAGGAATATATGGTGCAGTAATCAATGACAATGTATAATTTGTAATAAGTCCACTTATTTTGCGGCTATGAGAAAAAAATGTTGCAAATCTCATTTTTGTCAACTTGCTAAAGTTTTTGATTTGTATGTTGAGATATTTATTAAATGAACGTAGTAACAATGATTTTTTTCTATAATATTCATCAAAAAAATACTGAAATACATCTGATTTTTAGAATTTACAAGTTATGTTACACCATTTTTTAAATGAAGTGGGATGAATACAGCTCAGTATATAATATGGGATAAATACTTTTTTTCCAAATATTCTTAAGCATTTATCATATGATAAATTTTGAATATTTGAATTTTAGGGTAATATGTTGTGATTATGGTAAGATAATATTTTAATTATTTAAAAAACTACATATACTTAACTGTTGTATTTATTCAGATAAAATGGCAATATAGTTCAGGTGTCAAAAACAGTTGTTCTTTGCATCATGTTTACCAGTCGTAAGAAACTATCATGCCACCAAATTAAAGTTATTTTAAGGTTATAGACCTTTATTTCGCGAAACTCTGACATAACTATAATTAGAGATGGAGATGCAGACCAATAAAATATATTAGAATATTCATGTGTCTACAAACGGTAAAAAAATTTCATACACTGTGTAGTAAGTTGACTGGAGAAAATATTTTAAGGTTATCTTGACAACCGTGAGTGTAAAAACAATATCTTGTCTCATATTTGATGAGGGTGCGTGATAACAAGGATAAAGTAGTATTGTTTCTTATAAAAATCTTAATTTCACTGAAAATCGCTTACCGGAATAACACTTTATCAGGAAAATCTAAATTTGTATAAGTTTTCTTGCCTGAAATAATTTTTATAGCAACTTTTACAGTTTTTCCCTATTCTGCATTCATCTGTCTTCAATAAAAAAAAATTTTGGGGTATCATATTTTCTTTAAAGGTTATTTATTTTTGAAAAAAATATTCAAAATCTGACATTGTGCGCCAATAAGGCAGAGGGGTTGAAGGAGAGCCAAAACGAGGGCAGAAAAAGTGCAGGATTTCAAGAAATAAAAAAGAAACTATAGAGAATCAAGTAATGAGTGAGTGCTTTGCCCTATGAGACTTTGTGTCAGCTTTCGAGAATTCTCTCATAAAGGAGAGGAGTCTTAGTCAATCGTTTATTACATTATCAAACAAATTAGCATCTCCAGCTCACCTGCATGAAGATATTGAGAGTCTTATTTCTTTACGTAAAATTATCTGTTCCCCAGCTTTGCTAATCCTTTCATCGCTATTTAATTTGGCTTTTAGAGAACTGCAAGTTATTTCAGGTCACAAACCCACTCTGATAACGAGTTTTTTTCTTGAGTGTACATTAGCTAATCTTTCATGACAAAGTCCTGCATGTAGTGTAAAGTTTGTTTTTCCTAGATTGTGATAATTTTGATGAGATGTGAATCAATAATAAGAAATGATTGACTTCTGTTAAGTTTTAGTATTTATCTCCATTAATTTTGTAAGCACTCACACATTTGCAACATATTTTGTTTTTTAGTAACTGGCAGGTATCTTAAAGTAACAGTATTTATGATTGTACTTTTTTTTTGTGGATGCTTATATTATTCAGACGAAGAGAAGATTTTAAACATATCAATAACATATAAATAACAAGAAGATTTTAAACATATAATAATCTTACTCATGACTGTGTAGTCAAAACACTATCTTTTGTGCAACATAACAGATTTTTGACCCATTAAGCTTAGACAAAATTTAAAAGCTGCTCGCATCCGTTGACGTACGGAAAGAACCGTAAGTTAATTAGTTAATTATCGATGCTCGTTTACATTTTTAAGTTTCTGATCTCACAAATCTATCAAACATTACTTGTGTGATCTTTTTATCCAACGTTACTTATTTGTAATATCTTAACATACTTACTCCTGAAAGTTATCTAAGTATACGCCTACGTAATATTTAAAGTTTGTAGCTGAGTTAGAATCTAACACAAAATGGATGGTTAATTAAAATTAGTTATGTGTTATCGGTTTTCTAATACTTTTAGAAGCATCAACGAAAAATTCTAATCATGAGAAGATGCAACTCCATACAGTTATTTGTTATTTATTAAATAAAAATAAAGTAAATTTTATGTTTAAACTATTTACGCGTAAATATAGATTCACATACCTTTGACACCTATTTTCTGTTACAAAAAGATAAGATAAGGATAAGAATATGTTAAACGTACATGTATATGCTCGATGCAGTACAATCTTATTTGATTTAAAAGGTAAATACATGACTAATAAGTTAATGTATCATATGAAAAAATCAGTATGCTAGTTTGAAGTATCATTGTTTAACTTTTTTACCTTAGTTTGCAAATTTGATACATAGTTCTCTCCTGTGTTTGTGAAAATTCTTAGAGAGTGATTATCCAACAAACAAATGCCATGCATTGTGAAGTTATTTTTTTTGCAAGTCAAGTTAATGTCACTCCAATTTTCTGTGACAAATTTGCACCAGGTAACTTGCTTTATTTTATACTCACAAATAAAAGATGTTTGTAGAGTATTTCCAACTAAATTTCCTTTACTGGAGACTGCCAGATTACCAAAACAATAGAGTTCCTCCTCTTGATTGTATTCATCGCTTTGCAAAGTCCAAAAGGCATTCTAAAAATAAGAATTTTTGTTAACAGAAATATTTTACAACACATGTATTATTATATCCGTTAAGTAGTGGGCTTAGCACCCCACGTGAACTACGAGCTCATCTCCATTTTTAGTATAATACACAAAGTATACATTCAGTGTATTATACCTTCCAATCAGGAGGGGGGGGAGTCATCGCAATATATCAGAATTATGCAAAAATAAATTGTAAAATACAAGCAAAAATATCAAATAAAGCTTAACTGGGCATAAACTTTATGTGTGCAAGCCAAAAAACTAAGACCTTTACTTATGTAATACATATAAAATAAAAATAAGCCCTTTGCAAAAACTTTTCAGTATGTTAGAATCATTCGTATGGGTAATCGAGTTCACTATTGCTATATGATGTTAAGAAAAATCGAGCACTCAGTCAGAAGCAAACTTAAAATAATTTACTAAACAGAGAGTAACTTAATTTATAGGAGTATGTATTCGTAGCAATGTTTGGCTGTTTTAGTGTGCTAGCCTTATCAGACTAAATTTAATAAAAAAAAACAGAAAATAATTCATGCATTAAACTTAGAATTGATTTCGTTAAAACCTTACTTACTCGTCATCGCTTTGCAAGTTCTAATTGTCGTTAAAATAACAGAAAGGCCTGCTGATGTAGGTATGAGACGAAATAAAAGCTTGATAACAATTTGAAAAAGGCAATGGACGTTTACCATTTCTGAATTTTCTAAATCGTAAAAAAATAACCACTATTGTATATGTGTATTTTTTTCTATTTATGCAACTAGTATTCCATTTGAACTATCTGATTTTGAAAGTTAATCTTTTGCGAAAGTTAGATTGCTTATCGATGATTTTTGTATTATTCTAGTCTAGTGTGAGGTTAAACTCGTAATAATGAGTCACGACAACTAAGTCTATACTTTACTTATAATGTGTTCTTCAATAAGAGTTTTCAAAGTTATTTTAGTGTTACTAGTGTATTCTGCTGGGAAATTATACCAAAAGGATTAATAAACTGTATCTGCCTTATCCTTCTCTAGACAAACAAAAGTATTTAATTAAAATTAAATATTTAATTAAGTATTTAATTAAGTCATTTTTTTACAGCAAAATCTGTTTCACCTTTACAGAATTTGCAATAACAAAGCATTTATTAGAAAGGAGTACTGCACTATTAAACAAACTATAAACAGGGAATCCCTTATTGCTCAACAGATAGTTGAGAGACAGTTAAAAACTGTCTTAGATATCTAAGGTTTTTTAATTTGATCAAATAACAAAAATTGTTTTTTCTTATAACGCTTACGTCAAGGAAGTAATTTTATCGTCAGCTTCTAATTAATAAGTACATTTTGAAACAAGAATTTACGTCGTTATTATTGAAAACTTGTAATACTCTGAAACCTTAATTAATTATTTATAAATATACATTTCGATCGACATATCTGAAATAAAAATTTGGATGGTAATTAAGTTTCTTTTTTTTTACAGAGACAAATATCAGTCTCCTATTTTCCACTACTCAATCCACAAATAGTGGTTAAATTAAAAAACCCCTAGGGATATCATAGATGTGTTGGTGAAAAATGAATACAATTACACAAGTAAAAGTTTTATGCAATATTTTATTGTGTCGATTGGAGTTTGACAAAAAATTTAAATACAACGTGATTTGCAATCGATGCTGTTTAAAACTAATTAGAGCGGAATGATTGTAAATAGGAAGATCACATTGAGTAGGGATCAGAAAATATTTTTAATCTATAATACATAAAATTACGTGAATACCTTAGAAAATATATTTTAAAAATGTAAAAATTTTTGATAAAAGACATTATAGTACTCAAATACATCAAAGAAGCGGCTATCAACATGGGCTGTGTTAATTACAATTCTTAAATTGACAAGATATCTTAAGGAATGTCATATTGTCACGCAGTTTCAGATAAGAATTTATTTTTGCTTGAGATAAAATTTTAGCAAAAATAGCGAAAAAAAGCTCTTGTTGACATTAATAAATAAATTTTTTTAAAGGTATATCGTGTAAAAATTTTATATTATCTGAACCTAAAAATAAGACAAAAAATTTATTGAAACTGACGATGAAATGAATTGACATTCCATTAAGAAAAGTTATTTTTTTCATAAACTCGAGATAAAAAACTGATTTTCAAAAGTATAAGCTAAAAAAAATTTCTCTCGGGTAAATCTGAAGAATTTTTTCAATATTGATTATTAGTTAATTGATGTGTCTCATTGGAACAAAAACACTTTTTTGAAGGTATGAGTAGGGACTTCATAACTTTTACTTTACGAAAGAATAATAAACTACTAAACTCTTAAATTACCTCTGTATTGAAGATACTGTTTCCGTTGGTTCAGTGGTTCTTTCTTGGAACACAAACTTTAATGCGAAGAAATGAGAGTTTCGTCGACGAAAAAGTTTCATCTAAATATCTGCGTAAGAACAAAAAAATCTAGATTTTACGGAATCAGCAAAATCAAAGAACTAAATACAGTTTTGCTTGTAAAATTCAACGTACTAGTCTTTAATGATAATGCCATTGCACTTCATAATTCTGAAGCTAATGTAACATTGATAGACTTCAAATTTTTTGAGAAGTAACAATTAACTAACAAATTAAGTGGGATCAAAGAGATACAAACATTAAATAGGTTCGTAAATGACTATGGTGTATTAACGGTGGACTTAAAGATTTTTAAAATACAAAAAACAGTTTTCATTTAAAAATAATAATTAAAACTGATATATTTAAGAAAGATTTGTTCGCCAGTTTTTATTGTATCGTAGAGTTTCATTCATGTTGAAATAAAGAATTAGAATTAGTTCAAAGTTTGAACTTAGCTATTGAAAATGTAAGTATGAAAATCAATCAGATCGTAACAGTAACGCTTGGAAATGAATGTAAACTTAATTATTCAAATGATCTTTCAACAAAAAATGATTTATTACTTGCTCAAGAAAAATTTGTCGCTGGTACGGTTAAAAATTTAAAAGCAACAATAAAATTAACTAAAAACCAATATATTTCAAAGAAACATTATGAATGCTCTATTTTAGACAAGTTAGAAGTGTAAACACAAATAAAAAACTAATAAATCTAGAACTCGTGAAAGAGTCAGATGGCTCATACACCTTACCAGTGAATCTCGATAATAAAAAAGAAAAAGGGAAAAAAAATCACGATTGTGTGTTGTAACGTAGATAATTCGGACGAAAAATAGCCATCCCAACACCTTGTCATGAAACTCTCTCAAACTTTACCATTTTCATACCTGCTTACTGAACTACTCCACTCCAGAAGGTCTGCCCTAGGTGTCTGACTCAGAAATGCCAGACTCTCGTCAAAGAAAACTGGAAAGGATACATCAAATATACAACAAATACGACACTAGCTAGAAATGAACACGAATAACATATGTATTTTACAGTACACTAGCGCTACTTATTCCACCCTCATAAACACTCTTAAAAGTCTAATTGTCTATTTCTCCTCCTTATATAAATATATGTATTGATACACTATGTGTTCAATGTGAGTACGTCTGTGTTAATGTACAAGCGCCCTGGTTGTCCTCACTGCTGATCCTCTTTTTGCCTCAGTAGCCGGAGGGCCACACCTATCTTATATATACACACACCATTTTATGCGCACCTCATACCTATTATCATCCTCGCGCACATTTCTAATATAGAAATCCCATTTACACGCACTTACACTTTCCTAAAAGTCCCTTTATCCATGCATGCACCCACATACTCGTTCGCCCGGATCACCCGGATACCACTATCGTCGTACCTGATTTGAGTGTACTATGCACAACACACCTACCTTTCCAATGCCCTCATTATCATGCTGCGCTACCTGAAACTCATCCTAGTCTCAGCATTGGCTAGGTTACACGGATTGCTTCTAGCGATTCTGTCTACGGCAGCTGTTCTCTCGTCTAGCTAACCACACTATTCTACTATATTCTATATTCCTTTAGCCATACTCGACCTTCTGCTATACTTCTTGACCTATGCTCTCTCTGCTGCATCGTGCATTACTTTACTGCGCTATGCAGGTACTCTGTATAAATGCCCGCGCCCCACCCTTTGCATCCTTACCATCAAATGTTCCTAAAAATCCAAACGGTTCCGTATGCAGATTCCGCACTCTTTGTGAGCGAGGCCCAAGACAGTCAACGTAACTTTTATCGAATGCCTATTCTCGAGCCTGTTTGAGCTTAATATTTTGGTACTTTAACTGTTTCTATATTAAGCTATGTGCAAATTTATGAAAATTGATAAGATTACTCCAAAGTTATATATACGTACATCGATTTATCGCACCAAAGATAAATCCATACAAAACTTCATTGAAAGAGAGATTGATGTTAGATACGCTGCTAAATATTGGAAATCGAGGGCCTTGATATGTGATACGGTTACAGAGATTAGTAGAGAGATTGCTGGCTGCAATGCTACAAGCTAAGTTTATTTTTTTTCACTGATTCGAGCGGCTCGTCGCGGCCAAGCAGCCGAACCAGGTACACACATTTTTTTTATTTGATAAGTATGGAAGGGGTATGCTGAGTGTGTACCTATAGTCTCTCGCAGACCATCACTTGCTTTTACTATATGCACTTACAGCTATATAGCTATAGTCAGCATTTTCACTCTCGTAGGCGCACATTCTGTATAACCCTTCCACGCGTCTCTAAAGTGTGCGCCTATTTGCACATTTCCAAGCGAATCCGTAGACTCACACTCTACATTCCACTCTGCAAAAACGGGATGCCAACTATAAATCATAGGATTATAACCAAACAATCTATTAAATTGTGTTTTTGTCATAAAAAAGTACAGTAGCTGTTATTTTTTATCAATAATATTTCAATATTTTATAGTTAAAGAAAAACGACAACGATTTACACAAAGTGGCTTTGTCGGTGTTACTATGCGTATCAGGCGCATGATACAGGTAGTACATCTATTA